ATACTAGACAAAGGACACGAGTCTTGTGAGAATCTCCGAGACGACATGCACACAAATTCAGTTTTCGACACATTCAAAAGTAGGAAATTACAAGACATCCAATCGCTAACATCTTGAATACATGTCTGAAGTATCACCCGGGCGTGAATTTGATCATCTTCAGAAACCGATAAATAAATCTGTGTGTCATCGGCGTAAAAATGATATTTTACGTCGTGACGTCGCAATAACTCGCCCAAATAAGTGTTAATTTGATAATATACTGTCAAAAGAAACCACGTAGATGGTCACTACAACTTTAACAGGCTGCAAATATTTGTCTTTCACAGAATAAAAACAATTAACTTTGTAGAAAATCTAGGCAGAAGTATCCCTTGTATTTACTTATGTTCATGTAGAATTTTGCTCATTGAAACAAAATATCGTTACGTAGTTTATTCTTGCAAGAGATAATAAAAGCACTCAATTAGTATACTGAATAACTTGAAATATATCCGTCAACTGACAATCTCAAGAAATGAAAACTCACCTTTTTTGCATTGAGGATGAAACTTCAGGAACTGTGAGTGGGAATAATTTAGAAATATAACATAAATAGTTACATCTGAATATTTATTGAAAATGTGTAAATCCTATGCCCTATTAAATGAGTTTAAAACTAACATAAAAGTGCAATTTATGTAAAACTTCAGAATATTATCAGAATATATTTTAATTCAATGTAGTAACTATGGCGATTGCAGACTTATCAATTTTTATCTATGTCAAGAGTAATTTTGAATGACGCCAGTCTGCACAGATTCAGATAAAAATTTATTTGTTAAGGTTTTGAGCCAAAAATCAAGGTCATTTCATGAATCACGAAAAACAACCACTTTTTTGTTAATAATCTGCAATGTCCAGCTTTTTTAATGTGTAACGTGACATGTCTTAAAAGGAATCATCTATATCCAATAAAATCCACCAGTCTGTAAAAGACAAGTTCCTTGGCTATAAGTAAACATTACCTTTTTGTTTCTTTACAGCAGAAGAAGTGTTTGATACATTGGTGTCACTTTTCCTCTTGGTAGCTGAGAATGATGATGACACAGAAACTGATGGTTTTACAAATGTGTCTGTCCTATCCGGTGCAGTTTTACTCTGTGTTTTGTTTTTCAATAAAGCAAGATTCTAGAAGAAATACAATATATGACAATTAACCTAAATTTCACTAAGAATCATTAGCCAGGAAGTCACATTGACTTTTCTGAAATTTTGTTGTAGGTAATACCATGTCTTGTCTACTGATTTGCAGCGATACACATCATATCATTTTACAGTAGAAATTAGGATCATGTACACTATATAAAGTGTACTATTTTTTCAGTCTCCATTGGTGTGACTTATAAAAATATAAACCAAACAATCTTCTAAGTCCATACATTGTCTTTCGGAGAGGGCTAGCAAGCTAGAAATAGTTCTCAATACGAGTGATTTGATTTGTGAATTGGTGATCACTCTCCTTAAATGTATATTTACCTCTTTATGTTTCTTTCCCTGTATGTGTGCCGGCCATAATAGTTCATTTTTCACTTGTATATTACATACAACACAGATAATCTGACCAATATTATTATATGTACTGTGTGGTTAAGGTCACAAGAATAATAAACATTGTAAAGCAATGTCACAATAACATAGCATGTTATCAGGATATTACTAGTATACGTCACAACCGACTACAGTTAATATAAATAGCTACATGACTACAAGGGTACAACAGCTAATAAGTGATAAATCTGAGGAATAATGAGATGAATGAATTAGCAATTAATGTTTTTCAACACTGTGGCACCATCTTGAATCCCACTCAACTCATGCATGAACTAATAACTGGATATCTACAGTACATGTGCTTTGACGTTCTATAGTTATGTCAGTTCTATTTGGGAAATCAATAATTAGTAAGAGTTCCTTAGGACCCCTTCCTGCATTATCATTTACAGCAATTCCAGGCACTGATTTTACGCTGAAGTAGTGCTAGATGTTGATAACTTACTACAGTAGGTTACACACTTTGTTTTAAAATTTACAGAAGTTGTAACTAGAAATATAAACATTGACTGCAAATCAGAGGAATGATTGACAGATATTGCCCACAATGTTTTCTATTTTTGTTACAAAGTCAGGTACACCTAGACTTTGAGGCGCGTCTGTCTTTCATTCACTTTTGGTAGGTCATCGTGTAGTTTGCGTCTACAAATCGGCATTCGTCCAAGTTGTTTAAGCACCTCGATGGAGAAGCAAGGAGTTAAAAAAATAGTTGAAGTGAGAACAAGAGTTGTCGATTTGTATTTTCGTGGACTGTCATTTGCTGAGATTGGAGATCGAAATGGTGTTTCAAAGCAGACAGCTTATAATATCGTCAAATGGTTTGTTACCACCGAGAGTATCTTACCAAGAAAGAGTAAGAGGGACCAATCCGCGACTAAAAAACTAACTGACAACGTTATAGACTATGTCGAATATTATAAAACATTGCGACCGCGCATTTACGGACAGGAAATTCGATAAAAACTACTTGTGTACGGCGGCAACCCTCCCCAACGTGTGATCGTGTGTTGCCAGTGATAAGCTTTTTAAAGCGATTATTTGGTGGCACATCAACCTTTTGGTTCTCATCGTCGAGAACTAATAATCGAATAACATCCATTCTACTTATGTATTCAATTTCATTATTGATATAGTGGATGACGTCTTTATAGGACATTTTTCAGTTATATACATCGACGTGATACGGATATTTCCATAGTAGGAATAATGAATGCACTTTGATCAATAATTCTGTCATGATCAGTCGGTCAGCCGATTCTGTAAAATAACGTTCTTTACAGTTCCACCGCTGTATGCGCCTCTCACTGAAATAACATGTGACGCAAATTGAAGTACAAAACTAAGTTGAGGCCTTGATCGTTTATTGGAGGAGAAATTCAAAACTAATGTACTGCCACTTTTATGGGCGGAGCTTTCTTCCGGTGCGCTTCAAATTGCAGACATGCAGTCTGCATTATTTGTAACAACTTCTGTAAATGTGAAAACAAAGTGTGTAACCTATTGTAGTAAGTTATCAACATCTAGCACTACTTCAGCGTCAAAGCAGTGCCTGGAATTGCTGAATATCACAAATATTCAGCTATGTATGACCTTAACTATACCTTAGAGTTAGTAATCATTGTCTTAAAATTGAAACTGCTATGTGTTTTTTTACAACTAAGTTCTTTTATTTCAGAATTCAAGCTTTTCACATAATTTTTTAATCAGGTTACCGGTATCTGTAAGGTTATATTTTAGCCGAAGAGTAGTTTTTTAATTTATCTATTTTACCAGTAACGACACATTTTCACGAAAATGTTCATACCTTTACCCAGAAATTTTTCGTGTTTGATTTTTTAGGTAATTGAAATGAACTCTATTTTAGTTACCCTTCTTCACGGCGTGAAACCAATATTTGTCTTCAATTTTGACATTTTAAAAAACATATCATTAAAAATTGGTGGACTGATTTGTTATTTGTCACACCACATTTTATTAAAGTTAAATTGAGCGATTTTTATGGATGCTCTTTTCGATCGTAAATGCAAATGGTGACATTTTGAAATGACAATGTACACTATTCAGAGCTAAAAAATCATTTATATACAAAAATTAAAGCATTGTTTTATACTGGTGTATCAAATTAAGTCATTAATTAAGTCATTGTTATGAGCCCCCAAGAATCAGAAATATCACAGGCTTTTTCGATCGACCATGTTAACATGATCAACGCCATTTTGTTTAGCGATATCAGCATGTTGGTACGTGCCATTTTTTTCCTTAATAAAACTAGAAGGTGAACACAATTCCCAATATTAATCTTTACATGACAGGACCTGGATGTTTATGAGTTGGTAAGCTGGTTTTGATAGGTATCAGGGTTCAAAAACCCAAATATTCTGACAGTATCGTAATCTATCTGGCTTCTTGATTCCCTCAGCCCGGGTGTGAACGGTTTGTTTACCCGCAACGCGGTTCTAAACAAAAGAGCGCTAGTCGTTTCCACAGGCGCTTTGGGAAGTGCGCATGCTAGGATCTCTGCTTCAAAATATCCGCGTACAGTGTTTTGTCCTTTTGCTCTGGTGTTTCGATTTTCACAGGATTTAACTCGTTTTAGTTCGAATAAAGGTAATATAAGTCGATCGATAGTTTCTACCGATATCATGCTTGAGTTTTGTGAAGCGGATCGAAATATAATTTCGAAAATCGTGTTACTTTCAGGAAATTTCGAAGTCATGGTGTCAACGATTTCCTACATTGTACCTTGTGTTATTATATGAGTAGTAGGGGAATGTACCGACGACTGACCAACTATGCCGATCTTACTTTAGGTCATTTTTTATTATCCAAGAAACATTCCGAGCGTCTGTAGTCGTTCGTTTCCAGGCCGAGGATAGAGAGAATGTGGGTACATGATAACTGATTGTTAAAAATACCCCAAACAGACACAAATAAATTAAATAAACTTCGCTCGCGAGTCTAGAGCGGCGATCTATCCAGTTCTGAATGCAGTAGACCGGCAGCTCATCGACCGGCACAGTGATCGCACAAATAGCCACGTGGAGTTCTTGATCTTCAACAACACTGCAACATTTGTTGTTGACTGGGTAGTCGAGTCAGAGTACACTTGATTTTAATTGCATCAAAACAATCGAATTCGACGCACAAAAAGACTCACTGACAAAAGGATATTTCACAAGCGGTGAATTGATCTTCTGTTTTGACGCACTTCCGTCCAAACGCTGTTTTTTCATCAAATCCCGAAGATTGACAACTTTTTTCGTGGAGGCCGCCATTTTGAAATGATAATTTAATTGTTTGTAAATTCTTTTCTCAAAACACAACATTCGATGGAGTTAGAATGAAAAATATAGTCTCCAATTAAAACTATGACATAAAATAAAACAACGGGAACCGTCTATTTGTGACCATATAATATAATATACTACTGTTTGTAGTAAACTTGAACTTGGCTCTACTTTTCGCTTGAGTGAGTGTACCATTTATGAGCAAACATTGCTTATCATATACTAAGGGACCGACCATTGGATTAAACGGCGGGTAAAAACGTGAACAAAATACAGAAGAATAGTTTTAAAAAAATTCAAAACTAAAAATTGTATCAATTAAACCATATCTACATGTCTAAAGTACGTCACGGTATTTCACAAACCAAACCCAGAATAATGCTTAGTTAAAGAGTTGGTTGCACCCTCTAGTCAAGTACGCTTAAATAGCAAATAATTTAATAAGCAAATTAAATTCTGCCTTTCTTTAATTATTTTTTGAAACGCGGTCCATTTGCCAATCGGACTCAAAAAAAACTTTAAACTTGTGGTCACGGTCAATTCTGGGAACTTACCCACCTTCATTTGAGGTGATTCCAGAAAAAGACGCGATAGTCCTGAAAACAAAATATGAACAATAAATTTCTTAATGGCTTGGTTACAGGGGATCGTAGTGCTGCTAAGTTGTTCTTTTGTGTTTATAAATACAAAAAATGATAGTATTGCTCGTTTTTTCTAAGTTTACAGAGTTGGGTGGTTGGATGGCATCATATATTCTTTTATGTAGGTAATTACTGGTCAGTATCTACGTCTGCCCTGCATCGCTGATCATTGCCAGTAACTCCCCCCCGCACTTTACCGGAAATCGCTAAACCCTTGCACAGAAATCGCTTTAATAACCTGAACAAATTAATAAAAGGAACAAATAAATATTTGACGTATACATAGGCATTTCACACGTCATTTCCGTCTGTGGTCAGTAGGATACCCAGCACAGTTATTGAATAGATTGTCATCGTCCAGTCAAGGCAATACACTAGTATGAGAAGTTTTCCGGCAACCAGAATCTATATTTGGTTTGAAAAATACCTATTTCATAATTCAAAAAATATTCTAAACAAATAATCTTTTACTGTTGAAGGTGGGTTTGTAATAACAAAATCATTCCTTTTTCTCATACCAGGAGAAAACTCGACTATATGTAAATATTAAAGCAGTCAGGCCATGTCCCTGTCCAATTTTGAGATACTGCGTCGAAATATCTAGCGTACAACGACAATGATAATATTGATATGACAATCGTTTACTGATATATGACAGTATAGTAAAGCCGTCCTACAAATTATAGAATTATTGGACGATTATCACAACATATGTTAACGTTGGCTTCGAACTTTGAAAATACGATACATGTATTACTAAATGTTATTTTGCTTGTCTTTGTTGTTTCGGTTTTTTCAGTTATTTCAATCACCATTTGAGATTCTGGCGGCTAGCAATGAACTTGTCTTCCCAAAAGTCTCAACAACGTATAATTAATGAGATCAACTGTATAGTATTTGTAGATACAGGTATTGATGGTTTTGTCACCAATCTGATGTGGTACCCGCATACACGTATGACATGACAATTGCATTCAATTGTCTATGTCAATACGTATTAACTTTCCCATGCTTATTACTTTAATGTTCACATTCCTACACCTATATGTAATATCTAATGTGTTGTTTAAAGCCTAAACCATATTAACACTTTTATACACGCCGTGTCAAACGTCACCATGACTGTCTAGCACTCCTTATTTGGCATGTTAGTAAGTTCTAACCAATCACGTTGACTTGTGCTAGGCGTCGTAGTGACGTCACGATATCACGTGGTTTCACTTATAAATAGGGGGACTGATGAGAAAGAGGGAGCTGAGGTTATACGGGAGCGGAGGTTATACGGGAGCGGAGGTTATACGGGAGGTCTGTCTCTAGGCGTGGCTGTAAAGCCATCGCCTGGAAACCAAGTTTACACTTCACTGTATTATCACTGTATCAGATGT